TCGGTAAAAGTTTTACCAATTTTAAAACAAAATTTAATGTTGTCCCTTTGTTCGAAGCTCATTTTCATACCGATAACACAAACATACTGACACTTAAAACGCAATAATTTCCCTGCCAATCAATGAAATATCATGAAATTCTCACTGGACAATCGATAAAGATAGCAGATTATAACGCACTAGTCGACATATAGATGGCGGCACCAGGGGTCGCTAGATTCAAAAAGTYCTGTTTACTATGGAACGCACCTTGTATATAATCCGTAAAGACCTTATCCTAAGCCCAATATACCCTATAAAGTGGTTTCCTATTTTTCCGACCAAGTGGATATTTTTTCTAAACAGAAGCAGTTAAGCGGTGAATAAGTGTAAGTAATTTGCTGCAGTCCTTTCTCTAAACCTCTTATCCACTTACATATGTATCTCGGGCACGAAGCTCGATGATGAAAGTTTATGGGTATATGACTCATCATAAAGACTAGTAAGATAACAAATATGATTGTAATTCATTCACAGTTTCGTTGAATACTGAATGTTGAATTCTTACGCAAATTTGTATACTTTTGCASATAACGATTGTTTGTATCACCTAAAACTATTAGGGATAGATGTGATGKTACGTATATATAAATAATCAGGACACTGCAGCTTTGAAATCGACGAAGAGGTGGTGTGTGTCCATCTTYTTTTCATGGGCCTTTTTAAATATTTGACGCCTGATGAATAGCCACATTGATAAGGCCCATCCAGTTTGTTTATGTTGGGCTTTAATCACAATATACTCRATAGAACATTATATGCGATCTCCTAAACATCTTACCAGTTCTTCGCCGCTGTATTTGAATACCTCGGCCGGCAATCCATCGTCCCCAGCTGCTTTGCTCACATAGTTGCGCTCCAAGCGCTTATAGCAGGCATCTTTGGTCGCAACTCCTTCTCTTCCGTCGGGGCGTTTGAACAAATCAGCGATATGTTGAAGAACTTCGCTTTGGTGTGCATTGTGGCTAGACGTCTATCCTGGACTCAGCCACACCGAATTTTCTCTCTTTTACATTGACACTTTCTCGTTCCTGTCCTTTGGTGCATGTAAATTGGATTAACTATTCCGCGTTTGTTATRATTGTCATAAAAAGGGGGTCTTCCATCCGAGGCTGTTGTTTCCTCTTCATTAGGGGGTGTTCTATACGTAGCGGGTCCCAAACCCATAGTTCATCTTCAGTTCAGTTAAAGTGCTGGCCTTCAAAACAATGTTCGTTGGCTAACCAGAGGATACTTGGTCTAATACCGAAATTCGTGAGCTGCTTGAGCCATGTGTAAAATAATCGTATCTGGCCACTCCCAAGCGAATGGCGCTCAGAGAACTTATCCAACTTGCGTGAAGTTCTACAAATGACCCCATCCTGCACAGGAATAAATCTAATGGTGTGATATCACACGATCTTGGTGGTCAATCGACCAGCCCAAAACGTGAAATTATCTGCTTTAATTTTGACTAACCACTGCATTGCAATAGTACACCCACAGATTTTAAATTTCCATTTCTGGTAAATCTTAAAATGTTGAAAAAGAAAACATACATATATATTATAAACATTTTTGTGATATACTGATATTAATATTTTATTACCCAAAATCTCACATTATGTTAATTTCCTCCGTCTTAAATTCGGCAAATTTGTGSGAAACTTAGACATATGTAAAAATATCTTCATAACATTCATATCAMTTACATGATTCTGTACTACTACTGTACTTACTGTACACTTTATCCTCTTTTCAAATTTTTAAAAGACCCTTTTGTAAAATTTAAGGCTGTACTACTTCAGGATTGCCCTTGATAGTTTTTTATTTGCATTCGATAAATGCTGAACAAAATATTATCATATGATTAGATTCTGCTCTACTATTGCACTGTTATTCACTATAACAAGAAGTATATACAAGTATACTYGTATACATATATATATGTACGTGTAACGATATACGATGCAGACGCAGAACCTGTGAAGATGTTACATCATACGTAACTTTTTATGTACTACCAGTATTCCTTAAGTGATATACGAAGYCAATAACAATGTAGATTGCCAATTTAACTCTGTTATTATATTATTATCAGGATAAATGATATTATTGAACGAGCGGAGTTAGAGTAGAGTTGCGAGTTAGAGTTGCTATGTGCATAATTTTTTTGTAAAAAATTTTGTTAATCGAAATAATTTTGAAGACTAAAGTAAGTWTTTTAAATACAAAACTACTTCATAACATCTCTGATACAAACTGTTAATAATTGCTTACAAGTAAATTACCAGTTTATTGCTTTTTAGGTTTAATGTTTTAAACAGTTTTAAAAGACCATAACCAAGACCATAAGCCTCACAAAACGACGCGTATTTCAAATATTAATAAATATTTTGACGTGAAAGTTAGCATAAATGTCACCAAGAGTACTACCAACTTTCAGAAAAAAAAAAATACGGAAATAAAAACAGAGGTGAACAAAAATAAAATATAAGTTGGTACTTCTTATATTCGTGAAAGAGTTAATCTTAAATATAATCAAATATCTTTTTCTTCTTTTTAACCAAATATCAGTGTGCAAAAGTATGTATAATCCGGATCCTCTAAAAGAAGGGCATTTGTGTTTTCAAAATCAAAATCACTTTRTTAAATATTATATCTCTTCAAAAAGTAGTTATGAGGAGTCAGATGTGGTTATTAATGATACTACCAGTTATGAAGTAAGAGAAACAATTAAGGAAGGACTAAGTTTGATTGTACAACTGAACATTTAATGCTCTTGCAATTTTCAAGAATTAAAACCAGGGAAATACTATTGGAAAAACATTACTCGCCAAAATTTATGAATGGATCACAAAMAATTATATTTAATAAATTATAACTTATATATTAAAATTAATCTAATTAACACAAATCTCTATATTCATACAACACTAAATATTAGTGCTTTGTTAAGGACCGATACCAAAGATATGTAATTAAAGAGATTGGTGAKAAGAATGAAGAGTAATTGCAAAGAAAAGGTCAGTCATAAGCCCACTTATTCACTATCTTCAAAATGTATGATCCGCTTTCGGCTGACTTCGAAAACGTACTACTGGAAAATATCGATGCGGTATGATTGCAGTATTCATACATCGTCGGTATGCAATGTTAAAATCAAATAGGTTCATTATAATTTTTTTTCAGCTTCATCGAAAATGGAAGTACAAATATTTATTTGCAGAACGTTACACTTTGTATATGCATACATATGTATGCATTGCAATTGACGTTTTAAAAGTTAGTTCTATAAATCACTCATGTCCAATCAATTAAATAAATTTGATAACTGAGATTATTACTTCTAGAATTCTAAGAAAGTTGAAATACATTATATGGAAAAGGAAATCAAAGAAATGCAAATAGCGATAATTTCCTCATACAAAGCAAACAAAATACCGAAATATACGCTTGTTTGGCCTAGTTAAACCTATATGTACATATATGTATATGTACATACAAATATGCAGCAACCACCCGAAAATTGTAGTTTAAACAAGTAAGGAACGGCTAAGTACGGGTGTAACCGAACATTTTATACTCTCTCAATTAGCAAAGATCAAAGATGGGACATGCTGCCATCACAAAATACTCTCTCTCTGAATTTCAATACTAATCATTATAGATTGTCCGATATCTTAGGTAAGAAATCAACCTTAACCACTGCGGTCCATATATTTGGTGTGTCGGTCCTTAAAATGTTATTGTCCGCTTTCATAATTTTTCTAGGCTAAYAAATATATTATAAATTTTTAGTTTCACATTTTCGGACACAATGCACCAAAAATAATCAAGAAAACATTCTTTAATAACGATATGCCACAATTTCCGAATGGGGTGTATATATAATTGTAGTCATAAACGAACTCACATATTACTAATGTCAGTGAATGCCTTCTGTTTATTATAGGTCAAATACATATAATTTTGTGATAAGACATTGCTAGCTGTGAGAGCTCATAGCTTATTGTTTATACAATACACAAATCTTACCTGCAGAAACTGCACCGTAAACACTAAAAGTTAAACCAAGTAGAACTGATATATTTCTTAAGGAGTACATTTTTTAAAAACCTAATAATTATTACGTATAGGTATATGGTTTTATTATTAAAGGAAACGAAAAATATTGGGAGCACTGTACTTCAAAACCGACGTCTATCGGCGGTTTGTAGTTGTAAACTGATTGATGTCATTTCAAGTAAATACGAATTAAATCAACTTGATCATAATAATATGAATCTTTTGATTTGTATGTGGATGTAAAGAATATACATATTAGATCGGGTCGATTTTTATACTCTTGCAACATGTTGATACAGAGTATAACAGCTTTTTTCAGTAAACGTTTGTTTGTTTCATCTAAATTGACTCGTCWCCATGATTGTCTGTCTGTGGGTCCATCTTTGCATCTGTGCAAGCTGTAGCTTGAGTAAAAATTTAAAAATTTTAATGAAACTTGGTACACATGAGGATATTGTTATTGTAAATGGATAGAAGCGATTTGTCCCAAAAACCATCCGTAATCGAAAACATAACTAAGCTCCCCAATAAGGTACAAAAATATTTTTTGTGAAAATTTCTGTGAATATGTGTAAAAAATTTGTTGGCACCGCTCCAACAAACGGCACATAACTTTCGTAATTTATCAGATTTCAACCCGAAATATTGAGAGCGTAATCGTAAAACATGTATGTATGTATCTGAATATGCAAAATAAAAATTAAAAACAGTTTTTATGGTGTCACGATTTAGAAACATCCTTAAACTGTGTTATATCTAATATTATACGTTCCGTTTATTTTGCTAAGTATCTTACATACGAGTATGTATATTATATATGGGCATATCCCAGAAACTGTCTACCAACCAAAAATATTTGAACTTAATCCAACCTAATTTTTTTTTAATGGAGCACTAGAATAGATATCAAATTTTATAAATTTATAAAAAAAAATGATTTCGATGATGATTAATACAAAAATTATTACCAAATCCTACCCTACCTCAGGTCTTTTCAGGTGTTATACAAAAAAAGTGAAATTTTTTATGTGTTCATCATTGCTTTAGTATTAACATAGATGGTCCAATCGAAAGCCATATTGTTATTCACTCAATTCTCCTTAAAATTTGTAAAAAAAAATTTCATTTACTTTTCTGGAAACATTAAAGTTTGGTATGAAATGCCAGGTAAATGCGTTGTAGCGTGCGTAACGGAAAATCAGGTTTTTTTTTATATTGTGAGTAGAAAATTTTTTTTTTTACAAATCATCTATAATTTTAATTTAAATAAATATCCTGCTTTTAAGAAAAAAAAATTTTTCATTCTACAATTAAAAATCAAAAAATTACAGCATATTCACTTCTGTGTCGTGCGTAACGATTTGAGTTCTCACAAAAATTGCAATGGAAACCTTTGCAATTTTTATTCAGTTTTCTTATCACTTCGCTTCTTAAATCTATTCTTCGCCTACTAYTCTTAGCCTACTATAATCGTACCGATTAGCRATTATTTTTTAAACGGTAAATTTCACGTTGTCTCGCCTTTGGTTTCGTTTGAATCATTTGCAATTATCTTTCAGTGTCACTTTAGAWTATCGGCATATTGGTACCACAGAAAATTGTTTGTTTACAGTATAATATTTAATAATAACAGTTGAAAAACGGGTGCAGAGCGAGTTCGAAAAGATCGCAAAAAAATACAATCCAGTGAAAACTGAACACAAATAGAACGTTTAAAAAATGCGAAAAGAATGAAAATTTATAGAAAAAATCTTAAAGAAAAACTTAAAAATGACGACTCATTATCAAAAAAAGTAAAGGCTGACCACCGAAACCGTATGCAAATTTATAGAAAGAAAATAAAGGAACAAAAACAACAAGAGCAACCAATAATATCGTTGGATGGTGCATATAGGTGCAAAAATACCCTTCACAAGGCCTTAAATAAAGTGGAATTTGCGTTACCAAAAGACATTAACAAAAAAAGGAAATTCTTAGAATGCTTACAGAAAAATACTTGAAAGAGGAAGAAGAAGCTCAAACAAAAAATACGGTCGACGAAAATGTTAAAATGATTTATGAGTTTTACACTAATGATGACATCTCTGCGGAAACTGCCGGAAGAAAGTCC